TTGTTTAAAGCAGTTCAGTATAAAAGTATTGTAATAATAGGGAACATACATGATTATAAATATTACATCAATAAACAAAATTTGCACGAACAATATTATTAATAATTATATGAACACTTAAAATCTCGATTACAAAAAGATAGACGTATTATTATGTTAAGCCAATTTTGAATATAATAATAATGCTATACTGAAAAATATTACTTAATTAAAAATGCTTAGAAAATCCACTTTGTCCCTGGCACTCTGAAATGGAACACGAGTCCATGACCTTTCGCAATCCGGGCAACTGCTCTAACCACTGAGCTTCCCAGGACTTAACAGGACTGATACTTTTCGTTAAGATTATTTTTCAGTATAGCATTGTGAATGCGAATTTGATCAAATATAATAAAAGGGATGATGACTAATTTTTGTTTGTTTGTCCGTTAGGTAGTGTTAAAAAATATTAAACACGTATTTTTTTATTTTTTTCGTAATCATAAAATTACGGCGTTACATTGAGTTGAAATTTCGCATGACGTCACGTTAGAGTACGTTTTCTACACAACTGTGACGTAGCGAGCCCCCACTCCTCAACTTTAATGCCTGTTATCTAAGCTATTTCTTTTTAAATTGAAGTAAGATAAAATACGTATCTAATATTTTTCTATTATCTGACTGACGGACTAAATAGAATTGCATTTTTTTATCCAGTCATCATCCCTAATAGAACAAATTTTTTTGTTTATCGAAAGTTTAAATATTTGTAAAATTATTTCTTTCAGTTGTTTGGGCAGATTGCCTGAAAAAGTCAAGTGAACTGAAAAAAGTAAACGTAAATTTTAAGAAAATTAATTTGAATTCATTAGGTAGGTATAAGTAAATTAAATTTTCCTTTATATATTGAGAGATCTACAAATTAATCTTGATGTAGGTATACCATACTAATATAGTTTTTCAAGGTGATTTTATCGCTTGTAATCAAGAGGAGTAAGAATGGCCACTTAATACGAAATTTACGATTTCAAATGCAATTCATGAGCAACACAGTTGGCGGGAAATACACATGGTACAATATACAGACACAAACTGTCCAGTTAAGAATTTACTAAGCGGATCTAGTTGTGGTTTGCGCATAATAAACACAGTTTAACAGCACCATACATAAATTAGAAAAGCTAATGGGTGCTTTTAACTGTGCTCTGAGAATGGCCTATAGGCTCTATGAATTAAACTCCTTCGACGTATTGGGTTTAAAGTATTTTATCGCTTTTACAGTTTTTGTCTAGGAACACTCAAACCTCAAAGATATTTAACATAAGACTAATAGATAGCCTGCATCTAAAAGAAAATCAAGACATTACCCCTTTCCTTTGCCTACCACGAACAGTAGGTATATTTCACTTAAGGCTTTTTGTGGCACTTTGTTTTTAATGGCAATTACAGGATAAAAGTTATGATTTGGTTATTTTTTAATATCTAATTTAATATGTGAAAGATAATAGAAAAGTTTTCTTCATTGACACGATCGGGAATCAAACTCGTGGCTTCGAAGGTGGCGATACCTTGACTGCGGCATGCGAACCATTCGGCTATAGAGTTCGTCAAGTTAGATTATTATTAGATTGGTGGGTATAATATTATATATACCTATTCAGTGGATTAATGTAAATTAAATACCTCAAATCTTTATGTGATATTTTGTATAAAATATAGTTTATATTTAAAAGCGAGTTATCTACATTCCTATCTTTGACATTATTAAAACTTAAATAATCGATACTGACAGATATAAGATTTTATCTGATCAAATAATTTAACATCTAGACGGATAATTTGCAAAGAATGGATCGAAATGCTAAACGCTTTTAATGAAATGATAATTTTAATTGCAAACATAAGGGCTATTAAATTATCGCCATAAAAGGATTGAGTGTAACTTTATTGGTACAACATTGAATACTTGTTGAATTTATGACTTTGTAAACTATAAAACAAGTTTTATGGTTATGTAGCAACCGATGTTAGTATATTAATAATATATATATGAAAAATATAAAAATCAATTGCAGTTCGTTTGTCTCGCTAAAACTCGAGAACGGCTGAGCCTATTTAGATGATTTTGGTTTTGTAATGTTTGTTTGTAAGTCTAAGAAAGGTTTAAATGGTTAGAGATGATATTAAGTACACTGGGTCAGTAAATATATTTCTATAAGAATAAAATACGCTACGATGTTAATCTTTTGACGTGGATGTCAACGGAAATTAAAAAGCGTTTTCATGCATTTCCATTCAATTTATTTTCTTTTGTTATTAAAAATTATAATAACGCTCATTCCCTTAATTTATACTAATATTAAAAAGAGGGAAGTTTCTTTTTTTGTTTGTTTATACAATCTTCGGATAGAATGATCCGATTATGAAAATTCTTTCACCTAAGGTTCATCACACACGAGTAACATAGGCTATAATTTAAGCTGGCAGATTAAAGCTATTATTTAATATACCTAATTGAGTATAAACAGTATTACTATATTTGATTTTACATTTATTTAATGAAATTACGCTCACTAATAGCGAGAAGTGACGGGCGCGAAGTGAGACGTGCTTGGGAATCCGTTAGTCCTGTTGGGTCTCGGATAGCTCAATAGTTAGAGTAGTTGCTTGGATTGCGAAAGACTGTGGGTTCCAATCCCCTTAAACACCAGGCTTGGTAGATTTTCTAAGCATTTTTCATTAAAGATATTATTATTTCTTACCAAAATTTATTTAAATCTGTCTATATGAATTTCTTAATATTTAAAAACTACATTCTTAATGCCGTATACGATAGGCAGAGGAAAAGAGATAATATTTAAAAAATTTCGATGTTATTAAATTCTAATATGTAATCAAAAAATTACGTAATCATAGAGTAATGCAATCATATAGTAAAAAAAAACCTAAATAAGCCTATACGAGTCGAGCGATGTGGGGCTAATGTTGGACGATTATTTGTGCAATTTCGTACTTGACTGTTGATTTTAGAGCTCAAAGATTGACGACGTCTGTGATTGTGGTTGGTTCTAACAATCCGCGTGTTTATCTTTGAACAGTAATTTTGTCTGTGTTAGGGTTGTCTACACTACTTCTAATTGTCCGAAGAGCATATGGGAGAACATTTTACATTTTGTCCAGGGTTTAAGTTTATATCACTCACTGTTGCATAGTTTAAATATACATACAATTATTATTACATACAATTTAAAAATTATAACGAATAAAGTGTAATCTTAATAAGTTGCATGACATTATTTTTGTGGATTATTAAATCGTTTGTCTCCGGTACTGTCAAGATGTGTTATGTTATAGATATCAATAGTTTTATCATATGAAAGATTACGTGTAGAATAAGTAGTATTGAGCAATTTTTTTACTATGAAAATTTGGCAGGAATGAAACTAAAAATTATACAAAAAAAATTTTTTTTTACTATTACTTATCCAGCACTCACTCAGAGATGAGTCAATCAATCATTTAGGTCTAGCAAATGAAAAAAAAATCTAATCATTAGACCGTTGCAATCAACTCGAGAAAGTAGAGAATACTCAAAAGTATAAAGGGGAAAGATTTAATTGTTAATTTCTATGTCTGTTTATTTACATCGATTAAGCTCCGAAATAACTGGACTGATTTTAAAAATTCTTTTACCTACGAAAAGCTACATCATACGCAGCTGATATAGGCTATAATTTGTGTGAAGTCACGAGAGAACAGTTAAAAATAAGACTCGTACTGTCAGGTTTTAAGCGCAGAAGTTCGTGATTTACGAATTTCCTGATCTAGTTCATAATTGACAACCCTAGTTTGTATGCAAGTGGGTTTGATTTGTGGTCGCATTTACTGCACTCTGCCTACGCGAGAGGTTAAATGAATGATATAATGATACGAATGTAAATAGTGATAATTAATTTTATTGTGTGAATTGTGCTTGATCAAAATTTGTAGCAACTGCAGTTTATGTTAACTGTCTGTCATACTGAAATCAGATTTAACTGACTACTCTTGAATTTATCAGGATATACGTTAAGCTTTTATTGCCTTTGAAATCGGTATTGAGGGAGTTGTTATTATTAAACGCCCGGCTTCAAAAGTAGTTTCATGAACATATGAACCGAATTTAAGACGTGTATTGTTTTTAATTTTTCTAGTCGATTTTATTTATTTAGAAAAAGTGATTATTACTTTTATGTTCATTTTGGACTATAAACGTTTTGTAATCGGTGTAAAAGATAATATCTTTTAGTTATTTTCATTTTATATTCAATACGATTAACATCCTGTTGCGCAAACGTCTATTTAATAACAACTTTAGTCTCTAATTAATATTCTAAATTTGAATATTTGCATCGGTAAGGCCGCTTTAAACAATTTTTGTGGAAGTTTGTGCAAATGAGTGTTAATAAATTAAAAATGAATATCACATATTTAAAAACGTTAAAGTAGTAAACGAATCTAAAATAACAGTTGATGATTTTATACATAGACATCTCAAATTGATTAATGTGACATATATAAAGTCAGCAATTAATTTATTAGCACTTTAACATACCGAACGTGACAAATAAATAAAAGCAATCAACAAAGTGACACAACTTTATCCATTTCTCGTGGATATCACGCATGCAATCTCCTTGTCACCTGTCTCTCGACCCGGGAAGCATCTTCACGCTTTACCAACACTGTACATTTGAAAGTGTTCCAATTTTGAATTTACCCATGCTACTAAATTCCCGTCGCGCGGAGTCACGAGTCTGCATTTGAAATTTCAAATTTAGAATTTCGCGCTGCCATCTTATAAAGTTTAGAATTGTTTGTCTACGTCTTGAGTCGAGTACCCGATTCTCGATTTAATCGCTCACGTAGTAAAGTAAAGCTGTTACACACGAACGTCACGCGCGTGTTAGCTTCAATGTGCTTGCAACTTTCTCTAAAACGTGTGTAAACTAAAAGTTATTGTGGTAGGTTATCAAGGATGATCATAAGTGTTGATGTTTTAATCTTGCGACGTTGCGTGGTGGTTCTGGGGTTGTTTCGCAATTTTCCTACAAAATGTTTAGGCGTACCCACCGTTTTATGACTGAAGCGTTAAACAATTTTACGCTTTTAGTTTTAAATCGTTTCGTTGGCAAATTGATTTTATCAGCGTGAGAAATTTATGTTATTGTAAATATTCGCATAAGAACAATTTTATTTACTGAATGGATTTTTTTTTGAGTTGTTTTGTTTTATAATTAAATAATTGACATTGACATATATATCAGAAATTAATTTTAGATAAAAATATGTTTGTTCGTAAGTTTTCACACAAATTAGAGGAATCCCATAAATCAAATTCAATCTAAAAATATTTTATTACTGAAATCACCCGATTACAAATAATATGCCGAGACTTCCCTGTGAGTAATCAAAGACCCTAGTTATGGGAATAACTCAACTTCCCTATTGTTGAGCCACGATTTCATACAAAATTTGATTTTATTATTAATACGCTATGGTAAGATATTAATATGGTAAAGCCGCGCTTCGGCATGAATGGGCCGGCTCGACCGGAGTGATACCACGGCCTTACAGAAAACCGACGTAAAACAACGCTTGCGTTGTGTTTCGTCGTGTGAGTGAGGGTACCGGAGGCCCAACCCCTCCTTATTCCCTTCCCTCTACCCCTCAACCCTTCCCTCAAAGGCCGGCAGCGCGCTTGTAGCCCCTCTGGTGTTGTAGGTGTCCATGGGCGACGGTAATCACTTACCATCAGGTGATCCATCTGCTCGTCTGCCCCTATTCCATAAAAAAAAAGTATGCCCTAAATTTCATATCTATGTGAAGGCCTTGTGTGTATATTTTCTCTCTGTGTGTAACTTGACTTGGCCTGCGTAAATTATAACCTATCTCATCTGCGTATGATGTAACTTCTCGTAGATGAAAGAATTTTAAAATCGCTACAGTAGCCTAGTCGATGCAAACAAAAAATATAATATTGCCTTTTTATAACATTAGTATAGACTAGTACATATATAAAATGTGTACTCACTCAACCGGTGTTTGTTCTGTGCCTCCTTGCAACAGTCAGGATGCAGCAGGTGGTACCAGCTGACCCCGTGCAGCGAGCTCCTCTCCCAGCCCAGGTGCCACTCGCTACTGGACAAATAGATAAAAAGATTTAGATATAATATATATAACGTATATGATGAGGTTTTGTGTGGGTTATAATTGACATAAATATTTACTGCCCGACTCCAATAAAGTTTCATGTTTTTTTTTCAATTTTTAAGTTGGTATTTTATATATTTACAAAAGTTAGCACACTTTTATATAAATTATAATTGTTTTCGGTTGAATCTAACCATGTAAACTTTCCCTGTCTGTGGTCTAAAACTCCATTAATTTGGTAAGAAATTCCGTGCAAATAATCTGATTTACAAAAAAAGAGTATCTATAACATCTGTAAAGGTTTTTGCAATAGCCGAATGAAGAATGTATAAAATTTCAACAATTGAAAAAAAAATAACAAAATACCCTTAAATTCCATATTTTTATACTTTGTAACTTGGAGATTAACTATGCACTTTTATAATGATCCTATTGGTTTAAGTATTCATATTGAAATCAAATTTATTTGTGTTGCCATCAGTAAAATAAGTAGAATACTACCACAATTTGTTTAAGCTTGTCAGATTTAAGAACTAAGTTTAATTTGAATGAAATAACAAAACATATAATTAATAAGAGGTTGGTAAAGCCAATTAATGCTCTATTCTACACGACACATCACAAACTCTCGACCTTCTTATTTTACGTAACCGAAGGGTGTTTTTCCATTAGACCACAACGCCACGACAAGCCGTAAAATTCCTTTTGACATCAGCAGTAGTATTCTGTTATAATAACTGCCTCGAGTTAGACATCGACCGCTTTGATTTCGGGAACTAATATTTTTTTTTAATACTTCCTCATTGACATTTACCAGTGATGTTTCGTCATTAGATGTTGCCATTGCAGGAACACCTATGGATTTAGAATTGATTACATCCATAGGAGGCCTTCCCTATAAACTATTAGTAGATATAATTTGACATTGGTAATCCATCCAAAGCAGTAGGCTTATTCTGCTAATGTTTACGTAATAATCTAATCTCAATAGAATTCTCAATTACTTGTATTTTGCTATAGTACCACTATCTATCGAAAGGCCAATATTATTATACATCTGTCACCTTTGATTTCTACCTAAAGTACAATATTATTGCTATATGTGCCCCACAAATGAAAGGTGGCAAATGTATAATAATATTGGACTTTTGATAGATAGTGCAATAGCAAAATATAAATAGTTGAGATTCTATTGAGATACGATTATTACATAAGCATTAGCAGAATTGACCTACAGGTCCTTTGTTAAAGTTGTCTTAACTCTGGAATAGCGAACTTACTAAGTACCGATGATGAGATGTATATTAGTTAGCACTTGTGCTAAAGCACCTTGCCAATTCTACTAAATAAATTTTGTTTAAATCGAATCGAAAACGGATCGAAACCGAATAAAACCACAGTTTTTAATCGTTTGTCTATTCTACTTAGTGACATACGATACCATTCCAGTTAAAATAGAACAAAGTGACATATGACACAATTCCAGTTCTATTTTAACTGGAATTGTATCGTATGTCACTAACTAGAATAGAAAAACGATTAAAAACTGTAGTTTCGTTCGGTTTCAATCCGTTTTCGATTCGATTTAAACAAAATTTATTTAGTAGAATCGGCCCCCTGATCTCTGCCAATTGATATCAAATCGTTCGATGTCGTGCCGTTCTCATTATCGTGGTGTAATGGAAAAACGTTCAAAGACAGACAATTAAAATAATGATAAATGTAATTAAACTGAACTTGACATAGGCAAACAAATATCTGATAGGGTCATCTGCACAATCAATCATGGTACAGACCTTGTACAACCAGTTCCAATATTAGTTTCCGACAGTCTATTTAGTTAAATTTGGCAAGCCTCTTTGGAAGTAAGTCTTGCGTAAAAGGTTAGAATTTTAGTTATGTATAGTTCGAATTGGACTGTGTTATTATTTGAAAATAATTAAGGAAGTATTTTTTTCTTTCACAATATATATATATATATATATATATATATATATATATATATATATATATATATATATATATATATATATAATTAGTGAGATGTGTTATGGATAATGTTTAATTATGAATAGTATTGCGGATGCTTTGAAAGGTAATCTGAAAAAAAATCTACGGTGGTGTCGTGTGCGTCGAGACGTCACGTTCCCTAAAATATGAACGAGGTTTCCAGAGAGGACGAGTCTGGCATAGAGTACTTAAATTTGTAATTTTTTTTTGTTGCATATTAATTTTATTTCATCGATAATAAAATTAATATACAACATTAATATATAATTTGTATGACATGGCATAATTGATTTATCGATCAATGAAGTAATTATCTCTTTTTCTAATAATAAGCAAACATAGCGACATTTGTTACGGAAAATTAAATAAAACAGAGAGAAAAAGTTCTTCCTGGTCAAGAAACCGTGGGTTTCTTGCCGATTTTGAGAACAAGATCTCCGGCAGTAGATTTGTGAACAGATTTTCACAATTGTGCCTTTAACAGCCTAAGCTGAATCAAATGATATTGAATTTATAATCAGCTCGAAAAAGACTACAGAGATTTTATAATATGAAACGCTTGTCTATGAATTTTCAACAGCAGATCAAAGTTTTGAGCCGTTAATTTTGATCGCCAAGTGTATTTAGTAGGTAGCTATACAAAATTCAGAGCTTCTTGGTATGCTCATGTAAATAAATTATTAAACAATATCATATCACTCAACTCTTAAACTAAATAACTAAAGCCTTAGTATGACAATCTATAATAACAAAGGCATTTTTTGGGTTTGAGATCTACATAGCTATCTCAGAGATGGCGCTGGAACCGGCATACGAGTCACTTAGCTATGGAAGTTAATGCTGTCTAGGTTTCTATCATACCGAATCCATTATTATTAGTGAAATATGCATATGTATAGTCAATTTATATACAAAATTTGACTTTGACCCACTTTCAATAGCGAGAAAACTCTCAACTCAAGCGGTGTATTAAAACAAATACAAATATTACTTTAGCTTTCAATTCGAGATTGACTTTTGTAAATAGGTATATACTTATAAAACGTTGCGACACCAGATAGAATGGACTTCGATAGTGCCAAAAACAATTTCATTTTGACAATTTAATGATTTCACTTTAATTAAATAAATCAATTTATGTCATAATTTTTTAACATTTATTCATGACCAGCCTTTATTGTCCTCAGTGCTGAGGCTCGAGTGTTCTCTATGAATGGAATCGAATAGGGAAAATGGGTCATAAGCCACCACGCGGGACCAGTGCGGATTGCTCTGTTAACGACTGCAGATACAGCCGAGACCAAACGGCTTAACGTGCGTTACGAAGCACGAAGAAGTTGGAGGTTTTTTTTTTTGTCATCCATCCCATGAACAGCCCGTGCGAAAATTGCCTAACAACTATATTGCAGACCGAGCGCACTGAGCCATCGAGCTCCTCAACATTCAATATAACTCGTATTTAGATTTTGTAAGTGATAATTTAAATATATTACACAAAAAAATATTACCTCAAGTTAGGTTTCAGCTTTCAAATGACGAATGACTAGTTTTGTAAATAAATATAAACCTAATCATATTTTTAATCGTTAAAGTATGCATGTAATTGTATAGTATATATGTTTGTGTGCTCGGTACCTATATAAGCTTAAGTCATGTTTTCAGAAAAAATATGAATCCGATGCATAATGAAGATAAGTTTAGACGATAAAATATAATATTTTTATTAAATGAAACTTTGAAATAGTTGCATTAATTTTTACAACATTTTTCAATTTATGATAATAGTTTAGATGTAGGTACACTACTGTTACAAATGTAAATTATTAAAGAATTTAATGATATTGAAAATTTCTTGTACGCGCGGCCTCACGTCTCGCTACACACCACCACGGCAAGCGGACTCTTAGTAGGGAAGTTTTATACGAAACGTGATCGGTACAAGGTCCAGAATGTGTATTCTGACGTGCAGACGTATGTACTATATATTACACTTACAATAACTAAATAAAATAACCACTTCTGTATAATCTAAAGGTTGATAAAGGAAAAATATTTACAATCACATAAACACGTATAAGTGAAGAACAACTCTAACGACATTTTCTTATAAGTGTTGTTACTCATGTTTTATTAACGAAAAAACAGTAAGTCAAACGATATCTCAAGATTTAAGATGGGTGGCAAATAAAAGTAGTATGTATTATGATATTGCTAAATCCTCATTGTCCGTATAATAGCCACTTAGTATGTACAACAATGCTTCCAAGGTCGATATCATTCGGTTGTGTTTGTTCTTAAGTATTTGAAAGCTTCTTTGACGCGTGTAAAGTGATTATCAAATATGTTTTTGTAAAAAAGATCGAGCCGTCGGCCGTTTTTAAGTGTCGTAAAGTTATTCGGCGTCTTGCATGTTTTCAATCTAAAAATTGATAAGAAGAAATTTTTGATTAGATTAGTTTTATTATTTCTAATATACCTAATTCTATCGTTTTCTTTTATTTATATGTGCAATGGAAATATAATGCGGAAGTCATTATTTGCATAATTAACATTAAAACAATGTATGCTAACGTGTAAACAATATGATTTGTTTACGGAAAAGAATACTCTTGCAAATATGTAAGCAAAAATAAGAGAAATAATTATTAATGGCGTGCCATTGAAATATTTTGAGTAAGCCGTTTGGTTAAAATTGTATGCAACTCTTAAAAAGTCTTAATAATTCATTGTTGTAGCTTTTATCTGTATTTTTTTATATACTGTTTTTTGTCTCTATTGCCATTAGATTGGATCTCGATACGGAGGTTGGATGGGACACCAGGCTTAAAAAGCTTTTATTACCTTTTGAAGTAAATTTTATTTGATTGAACTTCTTTGCTGTGACAGCGCTGTGGTCGACATTGAGTATGACGCTGAATTATATTATAACTAATAAAAAAATGAGGCCTCAAAGTGACCTACATATTTAACAATTTTCATTATATAACAGTTTTGCGTATCGTTGAATTTTAGAGTTCAGTCACTAGATTTGTTAAGTTTTCATTAACAATGGCGTGCCATTAATAATTATTTCTCTGTGTTTCTGTTGATATTGAATAAGCAATAAATTGACCCATATTTTAACAGTTTATAAAACGATATACTATAACCCTGTTTATCTGTTTGAATGCAAATATCTCATAAACTAAAAGGTTGAAAAAAGACACCATTGAACATAATAGGGATGATGACTGGGTAAAAAAAATGCAATTCTATTTAGTCCGTCAGTTAGATAATAGAAAAATATTAGATACGTATTTTTTTTTTACTTCAATTTAACAAGATATAGCTTAGATAACAGACATTAAAGTTGAGGAGTGGGGGCTCGCTACGTCACAGTTGAGTAGAAAACGTCCCCTAACGTGACGTCATGCGAAATTTCAACTCCATGTAACGCCGTAATTTTATGCTTACGAAAAAAATTAAAAAATACGTGTTTAATATTTTTTAACACTCTACCTGACGGACAAACAAACAAAAATTAGTCATCATCCCTATTATAATTTATGAAGGATTGTAGGTGTTTTGTAAATAATTAGCTCTGTTAGTAATAAAATATCAAAAAGTTTACAGACTTCACAGTGCGAAGTCTCAGTAACTCTTAAGTTATTTATAAATTAAACTTAAAACTTTTATTAGTTTAGTTAAAATATATAAGTTATTTTGTAGCTAAGGCTTAGGGCTGGTTTTCAATTAGTCGTCAATTTCTTTTAACGATTTGTTAACTTAACTATAGTAAAATCATTTACCAGTTGTTAACCCGAGATTGCATTTTTGATATCAATTTAAACAAGGATAATTTGTTTTACTATGCATTGAAAACTGGGTAATATTAATTTTATATAGAAATAAAATCTATATAAAATTAATATAACCCTTTTTAATATCAAGGTTCTAAAGCAACAAGTTCAATATTCAGCCTAATAGGCAGTTGGAACTCATAAAAATTCGCTATTTATCAAACGTGTCACAGCAAACTTGGTAAATGTCGATAGCTCCTACCAGGTGAAAGGGCAAAGTCTGCCTCTATTAGTCACTTGTCTTTAAGTGTACGGCTGCGATAAGAGACCCTATTAGGAGAGCCATAGAGACTAATAATGACATCACTTAAGCTGCCTGTCACAACACATGTTGAAATATTTTGAGTAAGCCGTTTGATTAAAATTGTATGCAACTCTTAAAAAGTCTTAATAATTCATTGTTGAAGCTTTTATCTGTATTTTTTTATATACTGTTTTTTGTCTCTATTGCCATTAAATTGAATCTCGATACGAAGGTAGGATGGGACACCAGGCTTAAAATGCCTTTATTACCTTTTGAAGTAAATTTTATTTGATTGAACTTCTTTGCTGTGACAGCGCTGTGGTCGACATTGAGCATGACGCTGAATTATATTATTACTAATAAAAAAATGAGGCCTCAAAGTGATATTTAACAATTTTCATTATATAACAGTTTTGCGTATCCTTGAATTGTAGAGTTCAATCACTAGATTTGTTAAGTTTTCATTAACAATTAAATAACTTTAAGTTACCGACTCTAAAGATCTTATTTTTTGCTATGCGTTTGCGTTTGTTATTAAAATATAAGTAACGTATATCTGGAGGCACGGTGGTGCCCCAGCTAAGTCGAGGTTTTTATTATTTATTTACTAGACATCGAAACTTACTTCGAGGTCTAGTTACTAGACAGATTTAAACAATTCTTTCACCTACGAGAAGCTAGATCATACATAGTTGATTTAGGCTATAATTTACGCGGGTGAAGTCAATGGAATACAGCTATTTCTAAACAATAATAAAAATACACTGAACATACTCATAAATGTGGTATCGAACTTCAACATTTAATAATACATCCTTGACATATGGGTTATTTTATTGGTTTCAGCAGATAGATATAGTTCGGCATAGGTTGACTTTATAAATGTAAGTTATAGTTACAGCGCTGTGACCTTTAACTGCTCCGGTTACAAGTTTAGTACCGACAATATTATTGTGAAATTATTTCTAAGAATGTATTTGACTTTACTGTAAGGTCAAGGTGTGGTTGCCGGAATAAGCTCGATATATTCTTGTAAGAGTGATGATATATTGTATTTGTAATATAGTAGCTCTCTGATGCTCTTTGTCAAGAATTATTATTAATACTAATCGCTGTTATGTGTTTGTATTTGTTAATGCAATGTTCATGTACTTAATATTCGTAAATCTTGAACAATCATAATCAAAAAAGAAAAAGAAAATCAGCCTGCGATTGTGTAAGAATTAAAACTCGAATTGAATTCACTTCAAAAGTCAGCATCCGCTCAATCTTAAATAGGTAATGATGTTTCGTGGTATAAATGAAGTGAGTTTCGAAATGATTTAGGAATAGAATATCTGAGGCATCTATAATCAATCTATTTCGTTTTTTATTTTATACAAAATAAGAAACCAATAGAATTTATACACTAAATGACGTAAATTCAGACACATGAGTGAACACGAATTCGGGTTACGATTTTTACAGAATCTCTTCCCAGTTTATAAAATGAATAATATAAGATTTATCTAATTTTATCGATAAAGAAATTACGAAAATAAAAAAATAAGATTATCATTGAATCTTTTTCTTTTAGTTAATTAACATATTAGTAAATTTAAATTTGAAAAACGATTCACGAAAATATCTCGGACACACACAGAAAATTTATTAATAAAAAAAAAACGTTCAGTTCCATTCTGATTTGGTATTCTGTAAAATAAGGTTTAATAACTAATTATTATAACTAAAGGTTGTCTGGTAGAAATCGCTGTTAACGATAAGATCACCAATTGCTAAACTATTGTGTTATATTTAATTTGCAAATTTCATGTTTAAAACTTTAACTGATAAAAATGGTGTGTCAATAAAGTATTATTATGAAAATTATACCTTTTTATATATACTAGAAGTGAAAATGTCTAGAGGACAGTAGAGCATATGTAATTTCACTTTATACAACAAGAACCTAGTGTCTGTTTTGTCACGCGACATAGACTTCTGTAGTTGACCGTTTTATACCTCTACCAGTTTTACAGAATTAAGAATCTAGAAATTATCAGATATGTAGCAGTATTTACAAGACCTGCTGAGAACCGCCGTACATAATAAATAAGACAACAACATCGAGAGTTATTGGATCTAAGAGTGTTCAGTGGTTGTCAAAGTAGATCGGCATTACGAGTTTTGAGAAGTACCCACTTGCGCCAAGACTGTGCTTGACCATCTTATTGTGCCTAGCGATGAGATAGATAGGGCCAGAGGATGACCAATTATGAGTACAAATATATTATTAACAAATTACCTATTTTAGGTGTATACAATTGAGAATTTTAGGTGTAATTTGGTGATTTTAATTTTCTGTACCGAAAGGGTAACAACGGAAACCCTATTACTAAGGCTCCGCTGTCCGTCCTTCCGTCTGTTAGCAGGTTGAATCTTATGAACTTTATAGTTAGATAGTTGAAATTTTCACAGTAAATGTATTTCTGTAGCTGCCGCTATCACAAAAATTACTACTAATAGTATAACAACAAAAAATAAGAAAACTAATATTTAACGGGAGTGCCAAATAACAAAAGGATACTGGTACGGTCTCTTTGTCTTACAATTCACGCTTCGTAATTTTATAAAATATTTGATTGTGACAACACTCTCAGAAATATGAAATCAATTGAAAGATAGTCATTTCTCTGTATGCACCTTAACTACGGTACCCTAAAAACAAACAGGTTGTATGTCAAAAAGGCGACCTTTTTATTGCACAAATACAAAGTATCGTTTCACGTGTCATCTTCGCAGCTAGTACTGCGTGTGCGCATTGTTTTAATGTCCCTCTTATTATACCGTCGCAGCTCATGAATATGAAGCGGCTCAATAGAGATGTTGTCATACATCTGCAGCCATTGACGGACGGCTCTGTCACCGGCGGTTACGCATCAATAACTAATGTTTATTGTTAACACGAACCTTGGAAAATATAACGATTACATTATACATCACTGTCTTTTATTTGATTTACTTGGCATCGATATGTCGCAGCCAACTGGTTAAAATAGCCGTTCAATTGGGCAGCTAGCCATTTCGTTGAATGGCGCCATTGAATTCGCCAAATTGGTTGACAGATTATAACCACTTGGCTGCGATGATAGTGCGTGAATAGTGATGAAAGCATTAGTAGCTACTTCTAGGACTTATTGTTTATTCTTAAACATTAAAAACAGCGTACATGACGAACGGTGCATGAAATCTTGTTTTTATAATCTGTTTGTTCTATCTGCTGGGACATGTTTGTTGACTTACTTGGCGTCGATGTGTAGTATCTTCATATCGACCGCGTGGACAGTGGTGAACACGTTGGTGGCGCCGTGCACAACGCACTCGCGTGTTTCTGGCATCGCCAGGGGCGTGCACACCGCTAGAAACACTGGCTCGTTGCGACTACACAGCGGTAGGTATGATACGTAGTGACCACGGACTAGAACAACCTGGCAAGAAAAATTAAGAAATATCATAAACAGTCACAGTCTACTGATGTTTTTGTCATTATAAGTAATTTAATAGCGGATTAACTGCATATGAAAGGCAAAATATTTTTATGGAGTTGGAACAGTTCCCAGATAATAAGATGAGGGAATTAAGTCCCCGTATAGAGTATTAGAGACAACGAAGGCAAGACAGAAAAGGCCATTTTTAACATTGACCTGACTGAGAATTAAACCCGGGAGTTCAGAGATGACGACTCCCTGAAACCGGCGTGTGAATGGTACTTGAACGCTGAAGTAGGCTATTTTTGCCCTGGTTGAAAATGTTTTCGACCCGGGCCTATTGCCGCCCATCCCAATATCTAGTATAAAACTAAAACCAGAATCAGGAAACTTATGAATATTGAAAATAAACGTAGGTTAACCATAAAGTTTTCTTCTTTTCAAACCTTTTTCAAAGAACTCACGATGAAACAGGAGAATCACTAGAACATGGAGTTCAATTATTATTTAAGTATTAATGATTTTAATGAACACGCATCATATTTCTAACGAAGTGACGGAAGTAACAAACGGGAAATCAAACATTTTATTTGTGAACGAATAATCAAAAGTCATGATCTTTTAGGCTGTACAATATTGAATAGTGAGAAGATATATGTTCTGTCTGCCCATCATCGATATACAATTACAAGAAACTTGCTCGACCTTTGTTGGCTTTTGTTAACATACTATTTGTTATATAGTAACTGGCGTATGTTCGAAAATGATTGTTTTACCATTTAGGTACAAATATAGGGAAGTAATAAATGAATATTAGATATCCTTATACAAAGTAGCTAAAGCCCTTTTGCCTGTCTGAAACCTGGTTGCATTAAACTAGGTATAATAATAATATTTTTTTTTTATTAAAAATGGCATCCAATACACTTTTCGTAAGTATTGAAATAGTTTATGGTGACCAAAATAAAAAGTTTTATCAAATAACATGTAAAATTGAAATAATAATTATCAAAATAATGCACCTACTAAAATGGGTTTCGACTGAGTATATAAAGTTTACATTTATTTGCGTAGATGAAAATTACTGATGATTAGCCTAACAATCTTTAATTTTTAGGTCCTGGGCAGCTCAGTGGTTAAATCAATCGCCCGGATAGCGAAAGGTCGTGGGTTCGAGTCCCATCCCAGAGTGCCAAAGACAAAGTGGATTTTTTAAGCATTTTTCATTAAGACTATTTCTCCGTATAGCAGTGTGAATGCAAAATATATGAAATATAATAAATAATCTTTCATTTATTATTAAAACACAGACGCTATTTTATTATTTAACTATAAATAACGCAGTTGGTTTCCATAAATATTTTAGACGTAAAATGCAGGCTTTAACGGATTTGTGTTAATTCTGATATGTTCGAATAAAACAGTCAAATAGCTATATCTATATTTGGTTGGAATAAGGTCAATGAATTTAATGTGTACAAATGTGTACTTCTTAATACCATTAATGAACTATTCAGAACTGGATAATTATAATGTTATGGTCCATTTGTATATTTCCTTAATGATCTTAGGTGATTGTTTACAAGTTTAAAAATATATTTTACTTAACTACACTGTTAAGTTAGCATACATTGTGGAGTGGTTAATACGTTTGGTATGCGATGGAGAGTTAAAGCAAGGGCCGATCATAGGATGGGTGACCGATAATTTATTATTTTAAGCTCCTCAGTGCTCCGGAAGACACGTAAACATCTAACATCCATTAATCCGTACGGGGACCGCGGTAGGCCATGAGAATCATGGCCTATTCTCCCTATTTGGTTTGAGTCCATCCATAGGTAAGGATCCTGGGTCCCAGTAACGGGCACTTAATAGGTTAGTGGATATATACCAAAGCCCTTGCATAGGTGTATAGAAATAGTATTGACGGATGAATCAGAAGAAAACCTCACCCATGAGGCCTGATAGAGACCTTGATTTGGCAAATTAAACTAGAGCATTTAGGTAAGCAAAAATCTGTAATTACACATACCGTAGTATTAATATTACCCATTTCTAGAAAATAATAGCCCTTAGACGTGTGTAACTCTTTACTGAGTCGGTTCATTAAAATGATGCACAGATTCGAATTTCAAAGTATGCTCCGAATAGATCAGCGGATTAGTAGATCAACGCGTTCTGTGGCGCTCACTGACACTAATGAACTGAGCTGAACTGAATGTTTTCATTAACTTAAGTTTTTACGTTTCACAAGTCAAAAAGTCTTTGTTTTATGAAACTGCTATCAACAGATCATTAAAAAAATCAAAAACGAAAACCTGTTTAATTACAGTTTGAGACGTTCTTAACTTTACATTTTCAATTCAGAAATAGGGGTTTTAGTATGATATATGACTTTTTTGTTTCTATTGTATAACACTTGTCATTAAGATTGTATTTGTAATAATTCGTTGTAAAATGTCTAAAACTGTTTTTAAGTGAACGTTAATGTTGTAGGGGTTAATAAATAAATCTCTAGGGCATTATTAACTCTTTCAGCAATTTTTATTCATTTTGGTACATCAAATAAGTGAAACATAATATATTATTCATCCCATTAAAATAAGTCTTAACTGGTTTTAGTGATGTATAAGCATGTTTCCGCCTTTGGGACTAAAAGAATTGATAAGTCTGCGTAGTATACCACTCATCTATGCATAAGCTTTTCTGTGATGTAGACATAAGTATAAATGCGGTTTTAATATTATAAAAATCTTGTTAAGATTACATAAAAAACGTCATGACAAAAAAAAACAAAAACTTCACTTGTCGTATTCGTAAATAGACCTTTTAGCCGAATCGGTGCACTTAAGAAACAAAACGAGTTCAGCGTGCACTCACCTAACTCTACTATGAATAAAACGATAACAATATATCGTTCAAGGTCGTCACCCGGATCGGAGATCTCGTGGTGAGCGGTTGAACTGTGAACCGGTGTGTATAACACTATTGTAGTTTAAAGCTTTGAAGAATGTCATATAGACACGCCCTGTGCTTGATAGGGTCAAAGTTTGTGTAAAGACCTTGTTATCATTTCATTATTTAGCTTTTACTTATCAATGGATATGTATATTATTGGATTATAACGAACCAAATGCATTTGCACTCGAATCGTATTAGAATCATTGTCATTAAGTCACAAAAGTTGTGATGAAATATTACGAATATTATAATATTTGAAACGGGTTCTAATATAAGTAAAGTAGTACTCGTACGAATGAACAGTATAAACTTAAAGCCTCTTATATTATTTCGAAAATGTAATTTCGTCTATTTTCGGAATGCTAATACGACTCAAAAGAAACGTATTTTTTGATAATGTATGACGCAACCGAGGTAGGACCTGACACGGTCTCTGATACGTAGCTAATCTTCACGGATACGACTTTATCAAAATTATAAAAATGATTTAAGCATTTTTCATTAAAAATATTTATTCTGAATGCAAAATTGATCAAATGTAATAAAGAGAACAAATTTAATATAATATTTGATTATTATTAAATATTAAAATATTTGTAAAAATATTTGTTTCGACTGTTTGGGTGGTGCGATTATAACGTAAACTTTAGCAGATTTGGTCTGCAGGTGTTATGTTAATTCGAACGAGTAATAATGTGTCATATTGTAACATATTAATAAAACTATGAGACATCATCAAAGATAACTAGTCGATATAATTTTTTTTGCTAGCATTTCGAAGAAATAACATCTGAGCTACTTTTAAGATGCCTAAACCAAATATATATATACAGCCTTTTCTTATCGTAAAGCGTTGCGAATGCGGTAATTACTACGCCACCGAGATTTCAATTGTTTTTTGTTAAAAAAAAAGAATAAATCAATTTTAAATATGAATTTATAAAATTTTCTCTATAGAAAAAGAGTTACTTATGTTACTCTAATCTGTAAAAGTATATGTATAGTTTACGTGTATTGCCTTATTAAATTATTAAAATTCCAAAACTACATGAACACACATTTACCTTCCAATATCATATAATAAACAATAAAACAAATAGCATAATAATAGTCAAATAAAAACTACTAAGAGCTCAATTTCCTTGCAATAATCTATTAACTTTCAATAAAATATTATTATTATGTCTGCTATGTCCTCGAATGTTTAGTCTAAAACATACTCGGTAAGTAATGCCATAAAATTGCGTGAAATCATGTTTATAACTTGTATAATTCATGCATCCGATGTAGCGGTCTTCTAACTTATTTGCTATTTTGCTATGTTTATTTACCAAGTCGAAACGTTGCGTATATAAACTGCTAGATAATTTCGTTTATGATAAAATATTAGCAATCGCTTGTTCTAAAATACCGTTGTCTTACGGGAAACTATATTCGCAATGTGAATTTTATACTAACTTTGACAGCTTTAAGTTGACTGTATTTGATAAATTTTGAATTCAAAATTCTTTATCAAAAATATATACAATGCTTAAAAAAATCACCAGCACCTGATTCCCCGTGATATAAACCCGCAAACTTTCGCAATTTAGGTAATTGAGTTTAACTAACGATTCAGTTATTCGAGATCCACGAGACCCAGCAGGATTGACAGACTCGAGTAGTTGTTCTTTTTCGTTATAAGTTCGCCCGAATTGCGAAAATTTGTGGGTTGAAGTCTCATATAGAGGTGTTTGGGACTAGTGAATTTCTTAAGTATTTATCGTTTGTGTTACGGCCGATTTGTGAATTGAGAAAAAGTACAAAATCTCTTCTGATTATTCTCAATAACTTAAATCTTAACGTTTCACAAGTCAAAAAGTCCTGTTTTTATCAACTTATCATTAAAAAGTTAGTTCCTGTGTAAGTAACGTTTGCAGTTTGAGACGTGCTTAACTATATAAACTCATTTCCACTCATTGAAACTCATTGAAACCAGATATTAAGGTACAAAAGTACAATGTCTGCATTGGAATTTGAACTTAGACTTAGTTATTGTAATATAAATGTCTCCAATGATATCATCACAGTTAAGTGACCATAGCTTTTTCTCGGTTCAGAAACGTATTTTTTTTATAAAATCTACAAAATGCACGCATAAACCAATAATATTATAATAATATAAAGTGCACACTATACATATGCCCGGAAACAATAGTTCACGAGGAGCAACGCAAAGCAGCTTGCGTAAAAATTTTAATCCACTTACTATGACGACTGAGGTCTACTATCTGATTGTATCACATTGTATAAATAGAACGGACGGCATTATTCACAGTATGACCGCATTTTAAATCCTGGATCGGTAATGGTTGTATGCAAAAACTTATACTGTTGTTTCTTTGTACAAGGTTGAGCGTTGGTTGGTTGTATGAAGCTGTTATGTTTCCTATATCTTTAATGGCTTGTATTGCAAAAAGGTTTTTATCATATGATAAAAGACTATATAAACTTCTTTAGATTAATTTCTGAACGATAGCTATGAATAGTTTGTTACTTTTACTTTATTATAGATAATATTACTCTGATTGGCTTGTGAATTACAAGATATCAGCATTTCTGATCCCGGCCTCGATTTTTCGTTAGGACAATAAAGAAAATGAACTTTCCTATATTTTATAGAATTAAAGTCGTATGTTACCTTTGTTTATTTTATATTTTCATTTTATTTTGTAGATTTAGACTTTCTTTCTGCTACTATCGTACATTAGAAATTTATTCTAACTTTATAAAATACACATCTGCGTTGTGTTTGACCGACCATGATAAACTTATAAAACTATCATGTAGTTTTAATTTTATCTTCTTCATCTTTGCCGTCAGCAGTTGTTTGTCCGGTGTTGGACATATGACACCCTCAACTCTTTTGAGTGTGATCTGAAGAATGACTCGCCTTCGATCTTCCTGGTATCCTGCTGAATGTTCTTGATCGTCATATAGTTTTATATTATATTATTATTTAGTTTTATACATGAAATAATTTATAAGAAAGATTTTGGTGCAAAGGTAGTTAATTGAAAGTAAGATTGCTCAGCTGTTAACGTTCCCGTGCAGATGGTAAAATCCTCAATGTTTTTATGTATACACGGTTGCGTCAGGTCACCACAATATGTCAAATTTCCGCAATTGTTTTTGAACTTTACCCATAATGCATTAAGGTTTAAAAGTAAAAGGAGATTTTGTTTGGTTTTAAAGTATAGATAAAGTGACGTACTTTTGAGTGTAATAAAATTATACAATTCAAAATTGTACAATGCAATATTTTGCTAAAGGAAAATGATACTATCGAGTTTCATCAGGAATAATAAATTTTCGATTCGACCACGTCAAATTTAATGAAAATCTATTTTTTTTACTTTATAAAAGAGACGTCAGTATGCTTCGTTAAATTATTTTTTATTATAATTTGTTACTTAATATACGACGTAACTATATTATTATAAACTACTTACATTTGCCCAGTATCAATTCAAACTAGAGCGGAGATAATAGGAATGCGAATTTACATAGCCATTACTTTATCTATTATCTTTTGGAAGCATAGAAAAGAAAAGGCAGTGGACGACATGCAACCTACATTTACCTACGCCCACCGCGAATAAAGCGTAATGAGAATAGATACGACGGATACGGCTACGTAGATTATCATATTAGAGCAGTGGATAGCGGCGCGCATACTGCACAGAATGACCGATGGTCCAACTTATAGAAGATTTACTACCATAAAATAATTAATAAATAATAAAAAAATAAATAATTAAATAATTTATTTCTCACCACAAATGACACAATATAAAAAAAATTATGCTACGGACCGTGATGATATTATTTGACTCAAAACAAGTATACACCTCCCTGGAGGTTATTGTCGAACGTTTGTTGTAATGAGCGAGACGGGACGCCTCCGCTGCGATACGTTATAATAAAATAATATGTATATAATAAAGGAAATGGAACAAAAAACACAGTAGTCTGTTGCTATTAATTACTATGATTTTCTTTAAATAAAGTTTTTTTAGATTACAAACTAACTTCTTTTTGAAATATGTTTGGTTACATCTTGTACTGCATCTGAAGATTTATGAATGACAAAATAATTTTGGAAAAATATGAAAATGAAAGAAAAACGGTCTGTAAAATATGAAAACCTTCACATTTTTCTCTATTTTTTACTGTTTTTGTAGTTGAGTAGCGTGATAAAATTTTAATTATTATAGTAATAAAGACATACTTATAATAGTATTGCCGCCGTAGTTGAACGATACTGAAGAATCAAATTCTATATAATTTCAAGAACAGTCTTATTTTAATGTTTTTTGTTTTTGTAGCTGCAAGTTCATATATTTATGACATGTATTCTAAGATAAGTACAGCACGCTGACTCTTGTGACTTAAACAAGTTTTTTCAAGCCGAACTATATGGAAGTATAGGGTGATCAATCGTGACTTATTATCTAAGTACGTACTGTCCCACTGATTGAGATACCGCTCATTTCATTTCAACCTTTATTACTATCAAATTAAGATCATGACGCATTTCATGTGTCGTTGTTATAAAGCCGAATCCATCAATAGAACGTAGCATGTCGTATGTGAGGTGAACAATGGACTACTTTCACAGATAAATTCGTGACTGATTTTGACGTAAGTTATCCAATTGGAGTTGTGGTGCTAGATGTCATATAATTCATTAAGCATCTATATTATTCCGTATATTATCCACCGACACAAATAAACGTGTCATTATAAAAGATAAAGTTTAGTAAGACGTTGGCAATACTCAAAGAGATATATAGTTTAATGTCTTTGTTAATACTAAAGTTATATGATAAGACTTTATTATTTTGCTTTAATAAAATAGTGTTTAAGTAAAGAGTGAATTTGATTATTTCTCATGACAGTTCTGAGCGGGCTGTTATAAGATATAAAATATGGAGGCTTTGCGGCACTATTTGCTATTCGATATTGTGAAATGTTAGTGGAGAGATTAGGTACGTTGGGACATAGTTGGCTGTGAAAGTTACGCTTGATGCTAAGCATAAACATATATCTATTTTTTAAATATCTTAGATGATATATTTTCACAAAATGCTTTTACGTTTCTAATTTAAAAACATTTATCGCAAGTTCATTGGTAATATTATCTATTACGAGTTTTATAACCAGGTGGTTTATATGACGTTTTCAAGATGTCGATGTCTATGGACATTGCGTCGATTCCCATTTCAGGTCTGGGTGATGATTCAGTTACCTTCATTGATTTAGATACTTGCCTCGGAAGCAATATATCTGCTTTTGTGTAATATTTATTATTATTATCTATTGAATTAGATGTTAGTAATGTTATTTGAAAATCCATTATTCCCCGTTATGTTCATAAAATTCATAATTAAATATTGACCTAACGTGGGCAGCGTCAATTATCTCGGTAGTTTGCAGAAATTTGAGTAGACTTTTTGGGTTTGAGTTTGGTAATGAAGCAAAAGTTGAGCAATGCAAGTAAAATATTTACTTTATTTTTCGTAATAAGCTTATAAACAAATTACTACATTATTAAATATTAAATGCGCTGGCTTTATTTTGGTTCAACCCCAGAATAATAATTAAAGTATATTATTCTGAGGTTTCATCATGCATTGTTTATTATTTGGATATATTCCTTGGTAGAAAAGATTGTCATTTTTTTATTAGAAGTTAGTATTCAATCGGTGACAATTGTCTCATAGATTTGTCAATATAATTACAATACTGTTTGTTTCCCAAATATAGCAATGATATGTAGTATTTTACTATGAAAACAGTTTTCCTATGCCACGCGTTAATGTTAATGGAAAGTGGTGTATTTCGTCTGTCAGCTGATCGCCCAGCTGTTTGGTCAAGAGAGTCACGTATATAAGTCACGAAGTGTGACGTCACACAGGACACACCTCTCGTTTTTTTAAAGGTATATCCTTCGTAACGGTGTCGGGTTTGTTGGCCGGCGCGGGCGCACGCGCGCGCTCAATCACGACGCGTCGTGCCTTCGATTTACGACTGAACGTCCACAATACACATGTTTTGTATTTTTTTTTGTTTAATTAGTCATTCATAGAGTTTTTACATTTTATTAGAATACTTGGCTAACTTCATTATTTCAGATTAACATGTTATTTAAGTTACAATTGTTTTTAGTTTAAGGGCTTTAACTATTGAATTTAGAATCAGTGTAATCTATTTGATATTAATTAATGTATGTTGAAATTACTTTGTTAATTGTATATTTTAAGTTCAGTCAAATAGGCCTATAAATTCAACCTTATTGGGAAGGAATTATTTTAACTTCAGGAAACATGCTTTAATTTAAACAAAATAAATGAAACAACTTTTAAAAGGTTTAAGAAATATAAAATAGCATGTGGTAAAAGTGTGTGATGTTTTTGTTAAACTTTGAGCTGAATATGAAAAACATTGAATGAAGAGCATGAATAATGTAGTTATTATTTCGTTCGTGTATTCTGCTGCATTATTTTGCAAAATGTTAACTAAAACTGGACAGAAACATTGTGAGTATCTTGTCTGAGTGCAAATAAGTTGGAAGCATACTTCGAAAAGTGGAAATATGATACCTTAAAGCTTAAACAATTCTTATATGCGATTTCTGTTCTTCGGTTACATTGTTCGGTTTGTAACCTAAGCACCGAACATGTCACAGGTTATTATTTTATTGACCAAATATCTTTCCGCCAGCTTATATGTGGTGGTACAGGTATTGCCCGCCGCTTATATTATATTATACACAAAAACCTTTCTTTTGAATAACCCTAACTATTCAAAAAACATTAAACTCCGTTGCGTAGTTTTAACGCGTAAATCTAATAATCTCTATGTATATACGGACAGACAGATGGAAAGCGACTTTGTTCTATGTATACTATGTATTGATGAGATGAGCGAGAATCACCCGCACTCTGCGTACTGACCCCATCGACCAGTGTAAAGCCTTCGCGTGCGGTATATCGACCAATAAAAATTATACTTTATATTTAGATAGACCTATGAACCCAACATAGCGAACTTTCGCGTGCGGTAAAGCCTGTAAAGCCCTGTAAAGCGTGTAAAGCCTTCGCGTGCGGTATATCGATCAATAAAAATTATACATTTTATTTTTGATAGACCTATGAACGCCATATTCACAACATAGCGAACCTGAAAGTTCGCTATGTTGTGAATATGATTAATAATACTGAATGTCTCTACGTTTGTTGTTGGTACGATGACGAAGTTTATATTGAATAGGCCGATGTGAAATTGGCCACCGAGAGCACGCGCGGGCCACGGTCACGAGTCGTATCGTCACGACAAGGCGTATTAACTTCCACTCAGCGACAAAAAAAAATATTTAAAAGAATCTGTAAGTATCGGTTTTTATACGATCTCCAAAAAGTGCTAAAATTGCTATATTTTTTGTCTCTACCGATCAATTGACGTTTGATAAATATTATGAGTGCATTATGTATTTTTTTTATTAAAACTATTTTCTGCGGATAAGTCAAAGGCTAACAAATAATAAACGGTATGCAGATGATTTCAGAAACGTGTTAACCGATCTGTGTTATCAAACTTTACTGTAATGGTTCTATCAAAAGTTGTGCTGTAGACATTCCATGTTATTTCGAATAAAGTTAACGGTTGTATTTATATATCCTTTTCCTGGTGAATAATTAAGAGATGAGATGAAACGAATACAGTTTTTTTTCGATATTCATGTGATAGATAATTAACTTCAGTTACAGAAATTCTAATAATAATGGAATTAGTCGATGTGACAATATTTACTTTATTATATATTTACTTTAATCGACTTGATAGTGAGATTGCTTTTTTTACTAGAGAAAAACATCAACAATGAAACGACACATCATCACAAAAAGTGAGTCTGATTATAACAGTTCTCCAATAGACTTCAAGGAACAAAAGTGATGATCTAACTAGAGCTTTTGACAAAGAAACTACATTCGTTTTATTTGCCAGCTGTAGGTATGTAACATACAGCCACACGTTCTCACAGTTCACCTTATGCAAATAATACATCTTAATATAGAGAGCAGTGGCTCGCAGTTTTGTTATTACAATCAGATGAATTTACATTTCATAAATAAATGCATCTCCGCCACTGGTTAACGACGCCACACTGTATGTTTTTGCTGAACATAAAGTGTATGAGTGGCTTAATTTAAATAAGCCAGCGTCCTGCCGAGCTCCTCTGAACAGTCTCACGAAGTGTGAATCTTACACAAGTGTTACTCAGGGCACTCTACTCGGCCCCATGTTATTCCCTATTGACAAAAGATAACTGCTCTACGATCCGACCGAGCATCCTATTAAAAGAAGAGCCATTTTAAATATACAAAGCGAACTCTTTAGTGTAATTGACATAAAATGGAATGCGCTGTTGAAAACGAAAGCTAACCTTTGTGAAATAAAGACTTTATTATACTAACATCCATTGTGATGTTTTGCATGATGTCGTAATCCTATACATACGTGTAACACAGAAATGGAATGACGTAAAACATAGAAATCGTTCATAAAACGTGTGTAGATGATACGCAAATTATAAACTATAAAAAGATCAATAAAATTTCACCTATTGTCAACCGATAATATCCCCGTTAGAGTATTGGTAATAACTATAGCAATTACGTAGGGAAATTGGGTTTAAGTGATATCATAAAACGAATAAACCTATTGAGCAAAAAGTTACATACAGAGACATATCATTTAGACGTGTTCTCACGGACACTATAAAAATCGAGTACCGATCATTAGACGGAACCTTTCGAACTGACACGTAGGTATATTAATTCGAATAATGACCAACCGAATGAGGCTTCTTTCGTCACAGCGTATAGAAAACATCAAATACATATAATTAGAGGCATCTATAAACTACGGTAATTGTGAATCGTCTTCTTTAATTATGAAGGCCGGTACGAAGGTTCTGTGTGCGCCTTGTGAAATAATTACGTTTATTTCATCAGGTGACGTGGATATGTGATAAATCGAAAAAGAACTGCTGACATTTTTTATTTCACTATTGTGTTTTGCATTCTAAACCAAAAGCATGCTGTTTAGCGGTGAATTGAATTGTTTTTACTGTAATTACTTTAATACCATAATATGCGTCATAAAAATTTATGATCAAAATAATAAATGTGATAATTTAGGTCACTCTTTTAATCAAAATAGCCACTAATGATTGGTGATCAATAAAACAGTGTAATTTCTGCAATAAACAGACAGGTCGTCGAGATCACGTGATCTCATATAAATTAAAGGTGGAAAATTTTCTTTCTGTTTAAATTTTATATATTGTGCAGATTATGGTTGTCATCGTCAACCTATTTATGTTACCGCTGCTGGGACATAGGAATTCCCAATTAGTTGTAATAACATTTAAGAAAAGGGAAAGAACATGACCCAAGTAGGGATTGGTATCGAATTTAAAGTGCCTACCGAGGTACGCAGGAGATCGAACTACAAAAATTTTGTCAATCCATCCTAAGATCGGGTATTTGTGAAATTTGCTTAACTTCCTCTTCCTAAACCGAACGAGGTCCTCTATTATGTAGATTTTAATCGACACATTTTATATTTAAAGGCATATAAAATGTGAAAAGAAAGGTCGTCACCTGGAGTTTTAAAATACATACGATCGCCCTAAATTTTTAATTATGTAAATAAAGTGTATTTTTTTATCATGTAATTATCGAAGTTAACGATTCATCATATAGAACTAAAAACACAAGAACTTTTCTCATGTTACATTTAATCAAATGTTGAATATAAATCTTACATTATTCTTGAAGGTCAAATTTCATAATCTCCTTTACAATAATAGTGGTACCTTTATGCTATTATAAATATAAAAGATCGATGACGAACGATTCAATGCGTAAGTTGTATGCATTCCAAATTAAAGTTTTAATTTGTTCGAAGGCCATGTTAAGCAAAGATAGTTAAAATTGGAAATCTGTGAGAAAAAATAATATTTAATTGCAGTTTATAAACGATAGATGCAATCACTAAAACATATTACGTACATACAGTATTGAGTTTCAACTAGTTTATGTCAATTTATTTTTTGAAGATGAAATACACGTGGTTCACTTTCAGAGCTTAGATATTATTTTCCTTCTCTCTTTCAGCATAATTTATGGTTCTGCTTTTGAACATGGTATATTTCTTGGTATCCGTTCTATTTTGTTTCACTTGCAGTGATTATTATCGGATTGGTTCCGCGTCGTGCCATCTTATCTTATTTACTTATCGGTTCAGTGCAAGATGTTTTTTCTGTCGCCGTTATTATCTCTAATAAATTAATATGTGTGGCTTAATATTTAAGCCACACATGCACAGGCACCTATTTCTCTCGTATATAATTAAACAAAAATATTATTGTTTGAGGTTTTGAAACAGTCGACAGCACGTTAGGTTTCCACAAAATGACAAATTTCTGTTATCGGTTTGAAGATTTCTATTAATTTATTATGGTTATATGGTTTATGGTTATTTATATAGTTTACTGCATTATAAGACGAAAATTATGCTTGTAATATTTAAATATTATAAAACATTTATTATCTCCAATATTTATATTAATTTATGAGCAAGCAGAGCTGTTGTTATCTTCAGCTAAATATCATGACGTTAGTATTTAAGATCGGCGTAATGTCGGAATGATTGCGAGGAATGTTTTGCTCTGAGAAATGATCTGAACCATTATTGTAATGTGGAATAAGGTTACTCTACACTGGAACCGATCGGTACCGCCAGCAAAAATATCTGTATCGAAAGCAGTAACAAACAAAACTTGTTTTCACGTACATTTTAACATATTTGAAACAATGAAGGTACGAGTACCTTATTATCCACACCCTTTTTACATTGATCCAAGCGGGAATCAACCTTGGATCCTCAGAGATGATGACACTTTGAAACTAGCGTACGAGCCACTGCGGTCGTCATTTATAAATATTAAAGATAACTTTGATAATTTTTCAGGATGAAATTAAAAGCAATAAACTGGAAAGTGCAATATTTTATTGAATCACTTTTATTTTGATACGAACATGAAAAATATTAATAATAGTAAAAGTTCTACCATTTAAAGACACTTTCCACTACAAGAGGGCAAGTTTCTAGCTAAGTTTTCCCTTTTGTAGTCTTTTGATAATAAGAAAACTTTTCAGTTATAAGTATAAATGTTTTTACTCAATTTATACTATGATTCTACTGTAATAAGATTATCTTTCAAATTCCATTGGAGTATTTTCAATAGTTATTAAACAAAATATATTCATATGGTTTGAGATTATAAATTAGTAGAATTATTGGAGATACGTTTTTTGCTGTCGGTACAAAAAAGGCACACGGTTTAAGTAGTTGCACAAGCTTTTGTCATTGTATAATGATGTTCGGCGTCTGATGTTTTGCATCTTGGTACGTATAATATTATATTATGATAGTGCTGTTACCATTTTTTTTTCACCATCATCGCAACTATTAGAAAAGATATATATATTTTTTGATAGGTGATCGATTAAAACATAAGTGCCCGTTTGCTCGATTTTGTTAATATCCAGTCATAGAAAGAAAATCTGCACCATGTGTAGTTTTCTAGAACAAAAGGCCTTAAAGGTATTTCATATAGTTAGAAGAAATTGATTTTTATAACATAATTTAGAATCATCATCTAATCCAGTTAATCGATTTAAAAAAATATATGTTTAATCATGTAATTATGGAAAATAATTTTAATAATATTGCTAGACTAAAACATCTTAAAAGATAAATCTACAAACTCACTTTAAAGGGCAACCCAAATGTCTCGATTTTATTTTAGAAAAATTGTCTTGCTTGCACATTGCTTTAATAGAGACTTGCCATTTTTTTAGCTAGTATCGAGGAAACGAAATGACACGTAAAAATGCAAATAATGAGACAATGAAAAAAGAATCATCATTTGTTCGTTTTGTATGCTCAAATTTTTTTGCTAAATATTTTAAAGAACTTAATAAGACTGCACTATAACACTGTCTTCTATTTTATACTTATCTCTCGAGAAATCCAACACGAACATCGACAGATCGATTTATTTCTATTCAAAATTACAAAATATAGACATATAAAGTTAAATTACTTTATAATAAAATATGGGCAACTATGCTATGATCATAATTTCCTTCATAAACATTTTAGTGTTTCAATTAATTTTCGTTTTCGTAACCAATAATAAATTATTGTATAGAGTATTTCCTCAGTGTAATATTTCGTGATGTTATTTATTCGATAATTGCATTAAGACGATACGTGTTGTGATCGATGATTTAGACGACGTTAAGAAAGTACGCCAGTTGCTGATAATTGATGAGGTGAAATCTTTCGCTTTGATTAATTGCGATAGATGATATGTAGTGATTAACTTCCTTTTAATCGTTATAGCTTACGGCATTGCCAATGGAAATGAATAGCAAATAAAGTATTTCATGATATATCTATTTGTTTTAAAAAATATAATAAAGCTTTTATTTCAATCATATTCGTAGAGGAAAGTAATCGAATATATTGTAGTATTTAATATCTGGAATGGAATATTATAATTCCCTCGTAAATTATTTTGATAGGAGAAAATTTGTGAATTGTCAATAAGTTCCTGATCAGATGATTCGGAATCAGTTTACGGCTTCGCTTATTTCGAAGCTTATCAAATTTGCTATAAAGAATATTTTTTGTGTTATATTTTGAATATAATTATGCATATACGGTTACTTTTCTTTAAATAATTTAAATAGAGTAGAGCCTTTAGTAATATCATCAAAATCACGTTAGGCTTGTTTGGGTATTTAGTTTACATGACCACCATCACGACATTCGTTGTCGCTTTACTAGTTTCCACTTCTATGACTTGTGCGGGACGCTAAGTTGATTAAATATTCGAATTCAAATCGATTTATTGCTGATATTTTTAATTTTAAAACATAAAGTTGTTCACATAAGTAAGAAAGATATTTATCTTCTTGTAGTAAATGAAGAATAAATCCTTTTTCGTTAATATAATTACTAAGCAAAACAACAGATGGCAATCATTTTAAAAAGCTTAACCGATGACATAACGACAAAATGTCAAGCGACACAGCCTTGTTTGAATACAATGAGATCCCGCGGTGTGTTTCCGATAATATTTCTCGAATTTCTGTCCGTTACCAAATGTACAATCGACATGAATATACCGGAGCTCGAGTACATTGCTAGCCATTTGACCTTAGCGGAATGTCGCCGGCTCGTCGCTTCTTTACATTTCGTATCCTTCGAACTACCGGCTTTATCCGAGTCACAGCAAAAAATACCCAAAGATATGTCATGCTTAAATCTTATCATGAAGTGGAATAATGGAAATGAAGGTAAAGAGAAAACACACGAACACGTAGCTAGGAGACTTCGACAAATAGGAAAGAAAGATATCGCTGATTGGTTAGGTGTCACGGTTTTTCATAATCTAGCTAAAGATGTAGAAGACGCACTATTGCATCCTGGATTCATTGGTGATGAGAACAAATTTAACTATCAGTTTGTAACTTTTAAAGACAGTGATACTATTGAAATTGACCAATGGAATATCTTAGATTCTATAATGTATATTATGTTAATTGGAATTTTTGGCAGTATACTGTTTACTTGTTGGCGATATATAATGTTAACTTTTACTAAGGAACATAACCCAGGAAATGAAGAAGTGGAATTATTAAGAAAATTACGTAGCTATAATGATGTAAATATCGATGAACAAATAGCAGATGAAGAAGAAGAATGTCAATCTGGCATAGAAAGATAGATTGTACTTCACGAACAATATTAAAAAAATCTAATGAAATATATCTGAGTTTGTTGAAGAAACCAAATAAATAATAGACAGAAATAATAGCAATTAGCAATGATAATGAACTACACAATTTCTAAGAATGCAAAACAAGTTAAACTCAAGTCAAATCTCTGAAACATAAAAAGTTGGACAACACGGACTTTAATGAAAATGAGGCCTCAGCATCTGGGATCAAGCGTCCACTAACAAGGCGCATACGCAGCCATCGGGGACGTCATCGGAAGCGATAAGACTCATTAGTGAGGTAACCCAACTTGTGAAGCTGTCGGGACCACAGGGGATTTTGGATAGGATAGGCCTACACTTTATTTTATTCTATTCAGTACATAACAAGTGTTAAATATATAAAAAAATACAGATGAAAGTTAATTATTGTTTTGTTGAAGTCTTTTAGAGTAACTTATTCTTTCACACAATTGAGTTTTTATTTAACGCTGATTAATTTTGATTACAGTTTATGTAAGATTTAAAATGAATCTATGTAAAATGAGTATTTATCTTTGTTTATATCAGTTTTGCGCATTATTAGATTTTTATGGGCACATAAACAATTTCATTTTCCATTTAATAATATTTTAATAAATAAAACACGTTTTAGTAATCTGACAGCATCGTATTGACAGTCCTATATTTTATCGTCTAAATTTTCATTTTTACATTCATAAAAACAAAGAGGTCGGTTGATAAGAATGACATTATACAACCGCCACATTACCCCCCTACGGAGAAAAGGAAACCAAACAAAAATAAAATAAAATATTATTCTAAGAATTAAGAAAACGAACACGTCTACCGTATCTTGTTACATAACCTGAGGTTGAGTCAGAAGGTAGATTCTTATTTGCCTTTGAAGGATCCGCAAGAGCAAGTGGAGCATGTGTTTCAGTGCAAGGAAAACTTTCCAAATGAGCAGGCTTAACACGATCCAATGATACCTCAATTTGTTTACCATTTACATCAAGTGACGCAGTTTTTTCTTTAAGAGCGATGATGCGGTAAGGTCCAGTATAAGGTGGTACCAGTGAGCGTCGAATAGTATCATCACGCAAAAACACGTGAGTAGCGTTTTTTAGATCTTTGAAAATAAATGGAACTTGTGTAACATGACGAGATGCTGGAATAGGACGAAGTTTGATAATTTTATTTCGTAGCTGAACCACAAAATCAGTCAAATCAACGTTAATATCAAATGAACCCGACCAAAATTCTCCAGGCAATCGAAGAGGTTCACCGTAGAGAAGCTCTGCGGAAGACATTTTCAAATCTTCCTTGAGAGATGTCCGCATACCAAGCAATACCAACGGGAGAGCTCTAAGCCATGAATCACTATGACACATCAAAGCAGCCTTAAGTTGTCGGTGAACTCTCTCAATCATTCCGTTGGCAGAAGGATGATAGCTGGTAGTTCTAATGCGCTTGGAACCGCAGAACACTAGAAGTCGATGAAACAAATCGGACTCGAATTGGCGGCCTTGGTCTGTTGTTATAATCGAGGGTACACCAAATCGAGAAATCCAGCCAAATACAAAAGTTTCTGCAACTTCTAAAGCACTTATACCAGACATGGGCCACACTTCTGCCCATCGCGTGAAACGATCGACTGCAGTGAGGCAATACTGGTAATGACCGACTATTGGAAGTGGACCTATAATATCTAAATGAATGTGTTTAAACCTAGCCGAAGGGCTAGAAAAAATACCAATTGGTGTAGCAGTATGTCTAGTAACTTTGCTGCGTTGACAACGAATACAAGATCGAGCCCAAAGCTTACAGTCTTTATTAACACCAGGCCACACAAATCGGTCAGCTACAAGACGAGCTGTAACTCGACTACCGGGGTGGCTAAGATTATGAAGGTCGTCAAAAATCTTTCTGCGAAATTCAGATGTAACATATGGACGCGCTTTATTAGTAGAAGTGTCGCACAATAGAACAACATTCGAACCGGGTACGGTGACTTTCTCAAGTTTCAAACCAGTCTTTTTCGGATTGGCCAAGAAATCTTGAAGCTCATCGTCCTGTAATTGTGCCTGTGCTAAAGCAATAAAATCGTCTTCTAAAGAAATAGCTTCAACTCGAGACATAGTATCTGCCACAATGTTTTCAGCTCCCTTTATATAAACAACATCTGTTGTAAATTGGGAAATGAAAGACAGCTGATTAAGTTGAATAGGTGGTAATTTCTCACGTCTTTGGGAAAAAGCATAGATCAATGGCTTATGATCTGTATAAATAGTAACATGTTGTGCCTCTAATATATGACGGAAGTGCTGAATTGCCTCATAAACAGCTAAAAGCTCCCTGTAATACGCAGGCCAACCAGATTGGCGAGGTGTTAACTTCTTGCTAAAAAACGCCAAAGGTTGCCAACCATTTGAAACCAACTGTTGTAGGCATGCTCCTACATGAGAACTCGATGCATCCGTAAACAGACCTAGAGATTTGTTGGGAATTGGATGCATTAAAAGTGTTGCTTGTGAAAGACTTTCTTTACATTCTACAAAAACACGCTCTAACTCAGGTGTCCAGGGCATAGGTTTGTTACCGGTAAGTTTTGTATCAGTCAAGGCCTTTATTAATGGAGCTTGGGTTTTAGCTGCATGGGGTAGAAACCGACGATAAAAATTTAACATTCCTAAGAACCGTCTAACACCTTGGGCTGTTTTAGGTAAAGGATATTCTTGAAGAACAGTGATACGTTCTGGAGGAGGACGAGTTCCTTGTCTAGATATACGGTAACCAAGAAACGTTACCTCGTCAACCCCAAAAACACACTTTATTGGATTAATTACAACTCCATATTGATCCAGTCTTTGAAAAAGAATACGAAGATGCTGAAGGTGCTGTTCCTGACTTTGGGAATACACCAAAATGTCATCGACATATGGAAAACAAAAATCTAGGCCGAATGTGACTTCATCTATAAATCTTTGAAATGTTTGACCAGCGTTACGTAGACCGAACGTCATAAAGGGAAATTCGAAGAGACCAAATGGAGTAGTAATTGCAGTCTTGCAAATATCATCTTCAAAAGTAGGAATTTGTTGGTAAGCTTTTACCAAATCCAATGTTGAAAATATAGTGCAACCAGCAAGATTATGAGCAAAATCCCCTATATGACGAACGGGATAGCGGTCTGGTACAGTTCGAGCATTCAAAGCACGATAGTCACCACACGGACGCCAGGACAAATCTTTTTTAGGTGCCAAGTGTAAAGGCGAAGACCAAGGACTTTTAGAAGGTCTGGCTGTTCCACATCTTACCATATCTTCGAACTCCTTTTTTGCAATCATAAGTTTTTGAGGGGCAAGACGGCGAGGGCGACAAGAAACGGGTGGTCCGTCAGTTGTTTTTATATAATGCATAGTGTTATGCTTTATTTCCCGTGGAAAACCAGGAGGTCGTATAATAGAAGGAAAATCCAGTAAAAGTCGTTGATACGGTGAATCAGGTAAAACAGTGATAGCTTTTACACTAGACTGCGAACATGAAGCAATAAAGACAGTTGCAGAGAGTCCGGTCTTGCCATCCAATATTTTTTTATTTCTACAGTCTGGAAGTAAATGATAGTAAGCAAGAAAATCAGATCCAATTATTGCAGTACTGACATCCGCAACGACGAAACGCCAATGGAAATCGCGCTTTAGACCGAGATCTAACTTTAAATTAATTGTACCAAAAGTTTTAATAATACTACCGTTTGCTGCATTTAATTCATAGTTAGTCGGTAAACATCTGCTCTTCAATAGTTTTCTAGGATAACAACATATATCCGAACCAGTATCAACTAAAAAACGAACGTTAGAATTACGGTCGTTAATAAAAAGGCGGCGAGATGAAGTAAAACAATCAGCTGCCGCCGCTACTGATTGTTTGTCATGTTTTTCTGAGTCCACGAGCAAGGACTAACACATTTTAAAGCCTTGTCTTTAAAAATTTTGTGATACCAGCAAACGTGCAAAATTTGTGATTGTGACTGATTGCGCTGACCACGAACATTCATTAAAGTATCTACCTGATCAGCAATTTGATCAACTCTTTTTGCTAAATTAGATATTGTATTAGAAATTGACAATCCTGACGTTGCGTAAACCGATGGTGCGGAATCGGAGACATCCATTATACGATCAGCTAATTCGGCAATATTATTGAGTGATAAATCAGGTTGAGTTGTTAAAATTGCCTGAATGCTTTGTGGAAGAGCACGCAAAAATAAATGACGCAAAATCCTTTCATCGTTAAAAGATGTACCCGCTAGTGATTTTAAATATCGTAAAAATTGCGATGGTTTTTTATCACCCAATTCTGACTCGCTTAATAACTGATGGAAACGTTGTTCATCAGAGCAACTCAAGCGTCGAATAAGTTCCTTTTTTAATATGTCAAACCGTTGTTCTAAAGGTGGATTCGTAATTATATCCTCCACTTCAGCTGCTATACGAGAATCGAGTTGCGCAACTACATAACTATATTTTGTATTTTGTTCAGTAATCCCTGATATAGTAAACTGTGCCTCTACCTGAGCAAACCATACAGTAGGTTTATCTGCCCAAAAAGGAGGCAATTTAGCTGACACCTTACATATATTGCTCTCGAGAACAGCAGATGTGGAGGGTAAAGATTGGACAATAGAGTCGTTGTTAAGCCTGCCCTTAAGAGAAACATTCTCACTTAATATAGTTTGCACTTGAGATTGCAATACTTCCACCAGCCGTTGCAATTCTGTCAACTCTACTTCTTTACGCTCTGTCATGTTCGTTCACTTAAAAAATAAAATAAACATTAATAGTAAAATAAAAATAAAATACTAACTTACATGAAAATTAGGTAGAGTGGCGGTAATATAGTGTCGTTAACTTCTATATATAAAATATATATATATTACTATTGTTATACATAAATACAAAGGACACGTAGTTTTATCTGTTGTTGTTGACTTGTTGTATCTCTTC